AGATGCACTAGCATTTAAGCAATTTACCACCAGCGTTGTATGTGCATACTTCAGGAGAACTCATGTTATTTTTGGCCCCCATCGACAAGTCTAGAAAATATTTTGATGTCCAACAATTCACCCTTTGGTCTCCCCTTATAAGTTAGAATAATAAATAAATAAATATTTAGTAGGTGAGTTTTCACCTCTAATTTTGCTTTCTTGATCTTTAAGTTTTAAGACATTGCACCAGATGCCATTACATTATTTTCCTTCGAGAAACCTCATAGAACAATCCCTACCTTTACAATACCTTATTTAAGTAACTTTAAATTATGCTGATAATTTTCATATTTGCACTAAAATATTTTCAGGCTGCATTTGTGTATTTAGATTTTTTGGTTAAGCTGTGACACTGGAATGAGTTGAAAAACTGTGCCATTTTGCATTTTCATCTACTCATTTAAAGTATTTTATTCTTAATCAAAGAAATACCCAAGCCGTTTGTACTACCTGTTATCAGTAGTGCCTTTATTGCAGGCTTGATAATACTTAGGTGTGATTATAAAATCATGAAACAGGTAAAGGGAGGGGTAAGCCCCCAAACTGCTGTGGGGACATTTTATAATCTATAGCTGCACCCACGTAGTCTAACTGTGGTGTTTTGTTTATTGGTATTGCATAATTTCAGCTTCTATATTTTATATGTACACATTTTTTTAAAAAATCTATATTTTGGGAAAAAACATACACAATGTGTCTTTCTTTTCAGATTTTTACCTTTATGAAAAAGAGAACACATAAAAAATTATCATCAGGACATAACAGACAGACTTGGCCAGAAATAGCATCATGTTGCTTTGCAACTATTTTTTCTTTTTGTTTTGTTTCTTTACCAGATTTAAATAACTGGAAAAATTTTCCCCAATATTTTTTTTCTTCTCTAGCAGATATCCCCATCAGTCAATTAATTAGATAAAATGCTACTATAAAACACCTGAATTAACCAATCTACAATCTTGCTTTACAAGGTTTTTTTTTACTGTGTTTTTAGATGAATGTATGATGAGAAATTCAACATTAATAATTTTGGATTTTCTTATCACAAAAAATAAAATGAAGGACCTCAACCACCAGAACAGTTTATTAACCAGTCTGAATCTATTTATCTTCATTTGAATGTCTTCTAGAATATGTAAAAAGTAATAAATCTTCCATGCTATATGCATAGTAAGAACTTCTACAGTTATACATATGCCTTTGATGTATTTTCCCCTCAAGATTGTCAACTGTGTTTGACAAGTGAATATTTACCTGTTATCAGTAGTGCCTTTATTGCAGGCTTGATAATACTTAGGTGTGATTATAAAAATCATGAAACAGGTAAAGGGAGAGGTAAGCCCCCAAACTGCTGTGGGGACATTTTATAATCTATAGCTGCACCCACTTAGTCTAACTGTGGTGTTTTGTTTATTGGTATTGCATAATTTCAGCTTCTATATATTATATGTACATTTTTTTAAAAAAAATCTATATTTTGGGAAAAAACATACACAGTGTGTCTTTCTTTTCAGATTTTTACCTTTATGAAAAAGAGAACACATAAAAAATGATCATCAGGACATAACAGACAGACTTGGCCAGAAATAGCATCATGTTGCTTTGCAACTATTTTTTCTTTTTGTTTTGTTTCTTTACCAGATTTAAATAACTGGAAAATTTTCCCCAATATTTTTTTCTTCTCTAGCAGATATCCCCAGCAGTCAAGTAATTAGATAATATGCTACTATAAAACATCTGAATTAACCAATCTACAATCTTCCTTTACAAGTTTTTTTACTGTGTTTTTAGATGAATGTATGATGAGAAATTCAACATTAATAATTTTGGATTTTCTTATCACAATAAATAAAATGAAGGACCTCAACCACCAGAACTGTTTATTAACCAGTCTGAATCTATTTATCTTCATTTGAATGTCTTCTAGAATACGTAAAAAGTAATAAATCTTCCATGCTACGTGTATAGTAAGAACTTCTACAGTTATACATATGCCTTTGATGTGTTTTCCCCTGAAGATTGTCAACTGTGTTTGACAAGTGAATATTAAATAAATCTGTTATCAGTTGAAAATTTTGGTTATAAACATATTATAATAGGAATTGTTTCCCAAACAAAACATGTAAAGCAGTATTAAAATCTGAGCAAACAAGTATTCTGTATCTACTTTAATAAATGATTATTCTTTTTTGCCAAAATAAAGAGATCTACACATACAATGCAATTCCTATAAAAATACCAATGACGTTCTTCACAGAAATAAAAAAGCAATCCTAAAATTTGTATGGAATCACAGAAGACCTCAAACAGTCAAAGTAATCCTGACCAAAATAAAAATAAAAATAAAACTGGAGGCATCACACTACCTGACTTCAAAAATATAATGCAAAGCTGTAGTAACCAAAACATCAAGGTACTGGCATGAAAATTGACATATAGACCAATGGAACAGAATAGGGAACACAAAATAAATCCATGTATTTACGGACTATTAATTTTTGACAAAGGTGCTATAGTGGATTGAATTATGTCCCCTGAAAATTCACTGAAGATTGAATTGCATCCCTTAGGTTTTATGTATTAGAAACTTGGCCCCCACTGTGACTGATAGGAGGATGGAAAATCCTGTTATGGTGATTGAAAGGTGGGCCTTGAAGAGGTCATTGGATTGTGGGACTGAGCCACAGCAAACGGATAGGTTTTATGTATTAGAAACTTGGCCCCCACTGTGACTGATAGGAGGATGGAAAATCCTGTTACAGTGATTGAAAGGTGGGCCTTGAAGAGGTCATTGGATTGTGGGACTGAGCCACAGCAAACGGACTGAAAATGGTAGTCAAGGACGTGGTTCTGAGGGTTTTTTAAAAAGAGAGGGGCGAGTCTGTCTCTCTCTCTCTTGCTCCGTCTGCTGCACCGTTTTTGCAATGATACCCTGCCATCACTGTCACTACCACCAAGGCTCTCACCAGATGTGTTCCCGGGACTTTCGACTTCCCAGCCTCAGAAACCATAAGTGATAAATTTTGTTTTCTTTACAAAATGCCCACTTTCATGTGTTTTGTTATAAGCAACAGAAAATGTCTAATACAGGTGCCAAGAACATACATTAGAGAAAGGACAGTCTCTTCAATAAACAGTGGTGGGTAAATTGAATATCTGCATGCAAAAGAATGAAACTAGACCCCTATTTTGCATCATATACAAAAACAACTCAAAATGGATTAAGGACTTAAATGTCAAACCCAAAGCTATGAAACCGCTAGAAGAAAACATAGGCGAAATGCTTCAGGACATTGTCTGGGCAAAGATTTTATGGATAAGTCCTCAAAAGCACAGGTAACCCAGGTAAAAATAGACAAATGAGATTATGTAAAATTAAAAAGCTTCTGCACAGCAAAGGAAACAATCGACAAAGTGAAGAGACAACCTATGGAACAGGAAAAAACATTTGCCAACTCTACATCTGACAAGGAGTCAATATCCAGAATATATAATGAACTCAAACAACTCAACAACAAAAAATAATCCAATTTAAAAATGGGCAAATGATCTGAATAGACATTTCTCAAAAGAAGACATATAAATGGTCAACATGTATGTGAAAAAATGCTCAAGATCACTAATCATCAGGGAAATGCAAATCAAAACCACAATGAGATGTTATCTCACCCCAGTTAGAATGGCTATTACCAAAAAGACAAAAAAATAACAAATACTGGTGAAGAGTCGGAGAAAGCAGAACGCTTATACACTGTTGATGGGAATATAAATAAGTACAGCCATTATGAGAAGCAGTATGGAGGGTCCTCAAAAACCTAAAAATAGAACTACCATATGATCCAGGAATCCCACTACTGAGTATATATCCAGAGGAAAGAAAATCAGTATGTCAAAGGGATATCTACACTCCAGTGTCTACTGCAGCACTATTTACAAGAGCCAAGGTATGGTTCCAACCTAAGTACCCATCAATGAATGAATGGATAAAGAAAATGTGCTATATATCCACAATGGAATGTTATTCAGCCATAAAAAAATGAAATCCTCTCATTTGTGGTAATATGGATGAACCTGGAAGACAGTATATGAAATAAGCCAGGCACACAAAGACAAATGCCACATGTTCTCATTCATATGCGGGAGCCAAAAAGGTTGATCTGATAGAGGTAGAGAGTAGAGTAGTGGTTACCAGAGGCTGTGAAGGGTAAGGTGTGAAGGGGGGAAGGAGAGATTGGATAATGGATACCTACGAATTCTACTACGTTCCATAGCATGGTAGGTTGACTATGGTTAACAATAATTTATTGTGTATTTCGAAATAGCTAAAAGAGGGAATTTTGAATGTTCCCAAAACAGATGACAAATGTTCGAGATTTTGTATACATCTATCAAAATATCACATATAGCCCATAAATATGGACAAATATTATGTGTCAATTAAAAAATAGAACAAATTTTACAAACCACCATCTAATTACCCAATACTCAATGTACTTATTAGTGAGTTTGATTGCATGCAGTATGTAATGATCATACCGTACCAAGTATAAACTAGGTTTTCATTCTGTTCTGGAGAAAACATGAATTATAGTATAAATAGAATAAAATATAACATAAATAATATAAATAATCAAATCGAAAATTAGTCCAGCTAGTGCATAACAAAATAAACAAGCCAAGTCATTTTCTAAAAATTATTATTTAATGAGTGAAGATTTTTCTACATTTGGTTGGGTGCCAGGAGAAAAGAGATGGGAATTTTAGTTACTTGCTGGTGGGAAAAGATGAGCAAAA